CTGGATGCCATAGCTCCATACTGGCTTCAGAATTTGTTTATAGACAATTAGCTTATTATGGACTGAAAGGTTAGATTTTCTCCCAATTAGCCAATCCATTTTTCTAAACTTTAACTCTAGCTCATCCTTTTTCTTCTTAACATGCGCTTTCCAACGAAGCTTTGCGTCTAGGGTCATTCCCAAGTATTTAGCTGTGTTCTCGTGTGGAATCTCAATTTCATCGATAAAGACTGGTTTGTGGTTGACGTTTTTATTTGTAAAATTTACATGAATCGATTTTGAGCTATTTAGTTTGATACACCATTTTTTAGTCCACCTATCTATTCGATTTAGTGCTAGTTGTAGTTTATGTGTTGCGACTTCAACATATTTTCCAGTTGACATGATTACAGCGTCATCTGCAAATGTGCCGACAATACAATCTGAATCTACTGGTAAATCGTAGGTATACAGTAAGTATAATACTGGTCCCAGGATACTTCCCTGCGGGACACCAGAGCTTATCGGATGAAGATTTGAGAATTCATCATTGATTTTAACACGGAAATATCTTTCTTTTAGGTAAGATTCTAGCATTTCGCAGTATTGAATTGGTAAGAGCATGTTTAGTTTATGTAGCAAGCCTTTATGCCATACACCATCGAAAGCTTTTGAAATATCCAAGAATACGGATGAATATATTTCTTTGTTTTCTAGGGCATTTTCAATTGTATGTGTTATCCTATGTATTTGTTCGATTGTAGAGTGTTTTTCACGAAATCCCTCATCCCTCATCTCTCACCCTCATCGTAATGAAATAAAATAAATATCATTATTGTAAATGTATATATCTGCAATATCAAAAATTCCCCTTTTAGAGAACTCTTTAAGTTTGATTTTATGATTCTAGTCTCAATATTACAGAAAATTAAAAAAAAAACAGTTGAAGAACGAAAAAGTACCAGACAGTGCCTTTTTATATATTTTTATTAAATCAGGACGACGCATGTTTACTTTTCAACCAGAAACCAAAAAAATCGCATACAGATTTTTATACAATCAGGAAGCTGCATGTCCAATTTTATGTTTTTAGGTTCAATATTATAGAAAAGTATTAGTAAAAGAACAAAAAAGTACCAAAGTATCCTTTTTCAATTTTCGTTCAATTAGGATACTGCGTGTTTAATTTTATGTTTATATATTAAATATTTTAGAAAGCTCTAAAAGTACCAGTACCAGTGAAGTACGAAAAATAGGTCTTTTGGTAACCTATTTTATTTAATTTCATGTTCCTAAGTTCAATATTATATAAAATTCAAAAAGTACCAGAAAATATTCCAGTTTAAATTTTCATTCACTCAAGTCCCTGATAGCTTTTATAGATTCTAATTAACTCAGGCTCCACATGCTTAATTTCATGTTTCTAGGATCAGTATTATATAAAACGCAAAAAGTACCTTTTGAAGAACGAAAAAGTACCAAAAAGTGCCCTTTTATAGGTTCTCACTTAATCCAGGCTCTAAACGCTTAATTTCATGTTTCTAGGTTCAATATTATAGAAAATTCAAAATGTACCTTTTAAAGAACGAAAAAGTACCAGAAAGTCCCCTTTTATATGTCCTCACTTAATCCGGGCTCTACATGCTTAATTTCACGTTTCTAGGTTCAATATTATACAAAAATCCAAAACGTACATTTTGAAGAACGAAAAAGTTCCAAAAAGTCCCCTTTTATATGTTCTCACTTAATCCAGGCTCTACATACTTAATTTCATGTTTCTAGGTTCAATATTATTTTATTTTTTATTTATTTAATAGATAATGAAATGATTACAAAAACTTAATCATAAGAAATAATAATTATCTATATATGGCTTAACTAATAAGTTGTTAGCCAGATTGGCAATAAGAATTAAAGATTAATTTTATGAGGGAAATTATATATATTACTAGGAGTAATTAATACATAAAACATAAAACTGTTTAATATTCATTCCATTCAAATTCATTAATTAACAGTTTTCTATATTTTAAACAAGAAACTAAATAATTAACTAGATTGTTATGGTTTAAGGAAATACCGTTGAGAATACTTATTATCTCAGATATATTTAATTGGCTTTTATTAAAATATTTTAATCTAAATCCGTTGAAAATAGGACAGCAACCAATGAAGTGAAAGGTATTCTCCGTAGCATCCATGTTGCAAATAGTACAGAGGGTTCAATATTATAGGAAATTCAAAAAGTCCCATTGAAGAACGAAAAAGTACCAAAAAGTCCCCTTTTATAGATTCTCATTTACTCCGGGCTCTACATGCTTAATTTCACGTTTCTAGGTTCCATATTATAGAAAATTCAAAAAGTACCAATTGAATAACGAAAAAGTACCAGAAAATATTCCAGTTTAAATTTGCATTCACTCAAGTCCCTGATTGCTTAGTTTTATGTCTACCAAAGGGCCCAC